GCCCCCAAAACCCTAGTCAAATTATTGAGGCCCCGGCGTCAACAGCAAAGCTCGTGGGAAATCAGACGTTTCGCCTATCTTGATAAGACCACATTATAGTCCCGCAACTCGGACGGCGACCTGGCACTGCGTGACACATGTAAGGCCGAGCATGAAAGACATCCTGTGCTTAGACCCTACTGGTACATCTTGAACCCTAAACCCTAAACCCCGAACCCTAAACCCTAAACCCTGAACCCTAAACCCCACACCCCAACCTCTGGCTGTAGAACAGCCCTGAGGACTTCATCATGCGCAAGTTCTGCGAAAAGCGGCTGAAGGACAGGGCCTTGCTCGATGCTGTCGGGTTTAGGGTTTTGGGGGCTTTAGGGTTTAGGGTTCTGGGGGCTTTAGGGTTTAGGGTTCTGGGGGCTTTAGGGTTTAGGGCTCAGGTGGCTTTCGGGTTTAGGGGTTAGGGATGTCTAGCCGTGGCTTCTTACAATCATGATGACAGTTTCGATTTCTGGCATCGCTGGCTTCGGGGTCACGCCACGCCCAATAATCAAAGAGGAGCCTGAGTAGTCGTTGCTTCTCACGCATCGTCCTTCCTCAACGGACTAAAGGAGGGACCCGTAAAGGGACCCGTAGGTTATATATATATATATATATGGGGGGTATTTGGATTAGGGGTTCCTTCTAGGGGTCTCTCCTATTGTCCCTTAACTTCCATGTAAATCATTCAGCCGCCAATGTCCCCCGCCCTCATCTTAAGGCCCTTGAAAAAGCCGTGGTGCAGGACCACCTCGGCATGCACGACAATGTAGGCGTGTCCATGTGGACGGGCACCAAAGGATGAACGGGCGCCCCCTCCTGAGCAGAACCTGTACGCCGAGAGGTCAAAAACCATTGCTTTGTGGTGTAGGGCCTGCAGGGATTAATATAGGGGCCTTACTAATTACCTCTACTATTTTGGGGGTCCTTATTACAATTTTAGTAAAGATACCCCAAAACCCTATTCCTTGTATTAAGGCCCCTGTATTAGAGCTGCCGCGTGTGAAGATAGAAGGCCCTAGGAGGGCTTCAAGACTTGAGGGTGCAGCGATTTAGGAGAGCTAGGATACAGGATCGAGTCTGTTTTTGGGCTGTTGAGGTTTTGTGTCTGCTGGAGCCTCCAGAATGAGTACGACTGTTCAGTTTGTGGGCGCCGACAATAGCAGCTTCTCAGTACTGCAGCTCCTAAATCCTAACCCTAAATCCGAAGCCCAAAACCCTAAACCGTAATTACACGAACTCTCCTGTAGCCAAGGCAACACCGAAGAGATTCGGGGCCCTCGGGCCTGTAGGATATGTAGGACAACTAGAGTTGCAGTTGTAGTTCTTAGGGTTAGGGTTTAGGGTTGAGGGTGGTATAACCCCGGCTTGCTGGTCCATTGTACCGAAACCCTAAGCCTAAGCTTTATTCCAATAAAACCTCAACCTAAAGCAATCAACACCGAACCCTCAAACCCCTTATAAACCCGAAACCCTAAAGCCTAAACCAAAAATCCTATACCCTAAACACCGAATCCTCACACACCTGAACCTTTGAGCAGCCTTAAGGGCACGTACGGGTTTGGAGATGTCACAGGCGTTATTTACCATCAAGCCTCGGCCCGGCAGCCTATCCAAACAGCTGCGACCCCGTGGATTTGGGGG